TCCTAATTTCCTATAGGTTATATGAACATCTTTTTCTTTTTTTTTTTTCTTAGTAGGCTCTACACCTAATGTAGGGCTTGACTCAGAGCTCCTGCATCAAGAGTCGCATGCTAGACTGACTAAACCAGCCAGGCACCCCTATGTGAACATCATTTAGAATTCCATTTTGCTTTATCTCTAGTATTGAGTACATTTCTTTAGGTAGCTTTTTTGGTGCTTCCTCTAGATGTTAGGTTTTATATGTATATATATATATATATATATATATATATATTACCCATTTTGTTACCTTTTGTTACATATATTATGTATTTTTGTTATGCTGTCTATAAGAAAGTCACTTCAGGTGTAAAATATTGTAGAGTAAAAGTAAAAAGTTGTCTGATTATAACATGCAACCATAAGTATAAATACATGTTTCCCTATCCTGTCTTCTATCAACATTTTTCTGCTTCACATGAAGTATAGAAACCTTATTTCCCTGTATGTCTCTTTGTCCTCCATTTACAGTATAATTGTCATAAATGTTCCCTTTATACTTGAGAGCGTCAAAAAGTATTACCATTCTGGCTTCAACCAGCAAACATAACTTTCAAACTCCAGAGGGAAAGGAGGGTATTGTATTTCCTCCTTTGGTTTTTTCCAGTTTTCTTTCTTCCCTCCTGGCTTTCCACGATTCCTCTTCTGTTATTTCTCTTGTTTATAAAAGGGCCTCTAACCAATCTGTTAGGGCAGGTCTGCTTGTGACAAATTCTTCATTTTTCTTCCTCTGAGAATGTCCTTGTTTTTCCTTCATTCCTGAAAGTACAGTCACTCCTTCCAGGATTTTCTGTTGACAATTCTTTTCTTTAAACCTTCGACAAATCTTGTACTCCCTCTTTCCAGAGCCTGTGGTTTCTGAGGTGATACCTGACGTCATTCAAATTGTTTTTCTCCAAACATAGATGTTCTGTCTTAACTGTTTTCAGGATTTTTTTCTTGTTTTTCCAAGGTTCAGAATGTGCCATGATAGGGATTGCAGTTTATCTTTTGGGGCTTATTCACCTTGAATTTATAGTAGATTTATGTCCTTTGGGGACATAGTTTGTCCCCGATTTGGAAACTTTTCAGCCATTATTCAAATTCTTTTTTAGTCCTGTTCTCTTCCTCCCTTCTTTCGGAATTCTAATGCTATGAATGTTCTATCTTTTATTTGGATTCTAGGAATATGACTGTTTTGTTTTCTTTTGTTTAGATTGGATACTTTCTGTTTGTTTTTTTTTATAAATAGGTTAGTGTCAAGTTGGTTTCCAGCAACACCTAGTGCTCATCCCCACAATGTTCTAACTTTAAATTTATTGACTCTGTTCATCTCTCTTCTGTTGAACCTTTCCGTTCATATTTTTATTTCGGTGATGGTATTTTTCAGCTCTAAAAGTTACATTTGATTCTTTTTATTTATTTATTTATTTTGCACAAACTTTCATGTTCTCAGTGTCTTTGTATTTGCTCATGGAAGTATTTGTATCCTGCTGCTTTAAAATCCTTGTTAGGTAGTTGCCAAGTCTGTGTCATCTCAGTGTTGGCATTTATTGTCTTGTAGCCTTAAAATTGAGATTTTTTTTTTCAATTTTTTATATATTTCTAGGAGAGAGAGACAGTGTGAGCAGGGGAGGGTCAGAGAGAGAGGGAGACACAGACTCTGAAATAGGCTCCAGGCTCTGAGCTGGCACTCAGCACAGAGCCCGACGTGGGGCTTGAACCCACGAACCGCGAGATCATGACCTAAGCGAAAGTCGGACACTTAACCGACTAAGCCACCCAGTAGCCCCAAAATTGAGATTTTCTAAGCTTATTGGTAAGACAAGTGAATTTTTTATTGAGATCTGGATATTTTGAGTATTATACAAGACTCTGGGTGTTGCTTTATTTAAATCTTTTTGGAGCAGGCTTCCTCTAGTCAGTTTTCAGCTGGGGAAAGGGAGCACTGCTTCATGATTGGCAGGTGGTGGGGCAAGTCCAGAGGAGAATGTCTCCATACTGTTTCCCAAGTGGTCTCCACTGCCCCTAGGGTTTGGGCTGAGGTTAAACATGCTAAATTCTGCTGGGCCTCCTCTGATACCACCCCAGCTGGAGAGGAGGGGAATTACCTCATTATGATGAGGGACAGATAGGGAGAGTCAGATATGCCTTTGAGGTGCATAGTTAACCACCTGAGAAGTGCTCCCCACTGGGCCTTTACTGGCTCACAGGAGGGTAGACCAGGTTTTGGTTGTTTTTTTCCCTGGGGTGTTTGGCTGGAGTAGGGTGTTGAAAATGTTCTCTCTTGCTATGTAGATATCTTCTTGGTACTGTGGCTAGAGAGAACGGGCTTTTGTCGTAGTTTGTTTGGCCTTTACCCTTTCATACTGGGCAGTTGCAGCCTTGGCTAGTATCCAGCCTGGGGTGTGTAAATGAGACCAAATAAAACCAAGGGACTCAATGTCCTTCATGTCCCCAGGTTCCTAACCCGTCTGCCTTTCCTATACCTTTCAAAGTCTTATGTTTGCTTTGTATTTGATACTTAATTTTCCAAGCTAGAGTGAGGATAATAGGGGAAATACACTTAATACATCATTTTGGAAGTAAAGCTAAAAAGCCAGCAATGCTACAATGTCTTTTCTTAGAAATTAATCAGACAATAGGAAAGGATTTCTGCAGTTTAGGTTTTAGTTTTTAGGAAGCTGACCTGAATGAAGTATACTGGTGGTCTTATTTCTATTTCTGCATCAGAATCATGGGGTGAACATTGTAAAAATGGATTCCTAGGCCTCACTCCTGGAGATTCTAAATCTGGCACAAGGAATTGGGAATTTGTAATTTCAAAAAGCTCTCTACATGATTCTCAAGTGTCGTCATCTGTTAGGCTTGTCAAATTCTTTTTACCTCCCTTTTTTTTTTTTTACAAATAGTTTATTGTCAAGTTGGTTTCCATATAACACCCAGTGCTCATCCCCACAATGCCCTCCTCCATGCCCATCTCCCACCTCCCCCCCCCCCACACCCATCAGTCCTCAGTTTGTTCTCAGCATTCAACAGTCTCTCATGTTTTGCCTCTCTCCCTGTCCCCCACTATTTCCCCCCTTCTTCTCCCCCATGGTCCTCCCTTAAGTTCCTCCTAATCCTCCTATACGTGCAAACATGTGGTATTTGACCTTCTCTGCCTGACTTATTTCGCTCAGCATAACACCCTCCAGGTCCATCCATGGTGATACACATGGCCAGATTTCACCCTTTCTCATTGCCATGGAGTATTCCATCGTATAGATCAACCACATCTTCTTGATCCATTCGTCCGCTGATGGACATTTAGGCTCTCTCCATGTTTTGGCTATTGTGGAGAGTGCTGCTATGAACAGTGGGGAACATGTGCTCGTATACATCAGCACTCCTATATCCCTTGGGTAAATTCCTAGCAGCGCTATTGCTTGGTCATAGGGGAGTTTTACCTCCTGAAGTTTTAGTTCTCCATGAGGTGACTCTAGTAATTAAGGGTCCTTTATCAGGGAAATCGGTGACAGGCCCTTTTAGAGCTGTGTTCCAGTTGGTCTCCTTTAGCCTTCCCTTGTAGAGATTCTCATTCAGTAAGGCTGGGACCAAGATGAGTCTTTTGAAGGAAGTATACCTTCCTTTGAAGGAAGTATACTCAGGCTCTCAGTCCAGGTGTGCCCTTGGTTAAAAGTGATCAGAGTAGGTGATCTCCACAGTACTTTACAGTAAAGACCTTGTATGTCAGCTATATAGCCGTGTGATTTCAAATGAATTACAAAAGGCAGAGAAGAGTAAAAGGGTGTTGTCTCCTCCCTTATCTTCCAGTGGCCCTGCTGTTAACCTACTTCCGTACATGTCCGTGAACTTGACAGAGCTGCCATATGTGACTGGGTAGGCTGTGTCCTTTAAACTCCAGGAGGCACTCGTTACCTACATGGGATTTCTCAGTCTCACTTCTGTTGAGATATTGAGCTGGATAATTTTTTTTATGAGAGGGGCCATCCTGTACATTGTATGATGTTCAGCAACATCTCTGACCTCTACCTACTAAAGGCCAGGGACATTGCTAAATGTCCCTTAATTGGCACACCACTGACCTATAATGTGAATAGTGCCCACTGTTTTGTAGTTTTCTTCTTCCAATGTGTTCTTTACCACTTGCTGCTTAACTAGGAGATGTGCAAATATATGATGTGACAGGAGAGGGAAGGTGTAACTTACTCTGTTTCAGTTCTCTGCCCATATCAATGTCTTGATGTTAAACCACTGCATTTACTTGCCTACTCTTATAATCTGATCTCTAAGCAGGGGACACACTGAAGGGCCATCTATTTGTATAAAGGTTTTGTAATTTTACCTTTACTGTAAAACGCTCAAGTCTCTGGATGCCAGATTATCTAGGGCTGAATTTGTTTTGGAAGAGAAATTATGACTTCAAAATGAATATCCCGGATAATATAATGCTTTTGGGTAGTGTTCTGTTGATAAATGACTTCTTGTCCTCAAGTGTGGGCAGTGACTCCAAATATAAATGAATGTGTAGCACGGTGTTTACTAGATGCTTAACCAGGTTTTGTCATTTTGAAAAAGATAATAGAGAAGAAAAAGTCTTTTTTAAAAAAGTATATTTAAAATTCAGTTCTGTACGTAATACATCTTTTTTATTGTCTTCTTATTTCTCTCTCTTTTTTTTTATTTTTTAATTTATTTCTAGGAGAGAGAGAGAGACAGCATGAGCAGGGGAGGGTCAGAGAGAGAGGGAGTCACAGACTCTGAAACAGGCTCCAGGCTCTGAGCTGGCAGTCAGCACAGAGCCCGACGAGGAGCTCAAACCCACAAACCGAGAGATCATGACCTAAGCGAAAGTCGGACGCTTAACCGACTAAGCCACCCAGGCGCCCCTTCATTTCTCTCTTTTAAAGTCTTGTGAAAAATGCCACTGTTCCTGGAAATCTGGCAGAATGGAAGACATATAGACAACATGAAACCCAGTGAGTCTGATGTGACTATTCTCGGGTGATTTGATTACCGCCAGTGTAACATTTGGTACATGAGGTTTTCCAAGGACTTCTGGCAAAAGGTAGCAATATATTTTTACATTTTCAAATTACTTAACAGCATCTTAATTTCACATTTCTGTTGCGCATCCATGTTCAGATTCGGCTAAGAATCTATCTACCTCAGTGTTCTGTATTGATTGTTTTGGCTTTTGCTATTTATTCTACCTTCGTGGCTTTACACACCATCTGCAGTGCTTATTATGAATGCAGTTGACAGGTGTCAATCATGGAAGTGAGGTGTTTACTTTCTGTAACATGTTACTAAGTTCGAATGTTTTGGCGTTAGAGTGTTAACCTTTTTAAGCAGCTTTCTTATAGAACACCTTAGTGAAAAATCAGCAGAGGGGCAAAGTATCTAAAAGTTTAAAGAGATTGGTGTAAGGATTTTGTAGTCCTAAATTACTTGGGAACTTATTTCTAAGAAAGCTTTGGAGGAGCTATCTGTAATTTTTCTACAACTCTTTAAGGCAGAATAAAGCGTACATCCTAAGAATGTTACTTATAACATCCTTCAGAGTGACGCGTAAGTGGCTCATTGGGTTGAGCTTTGGACTTTAGCTCACGTCATGGCCTCGCGCTTTGAGTTTGAGCCCCGCAGCCCCACATTGGGCTCGGTGCTGACTGTTCAGAGCCTGGAGCCGGCTTCGGGTTCTGTGTCTTCCTCTCTCTCTGCCCTTCCCCTGCTTCTGTTCTGTCTCTCAATAACAAACGTTAAAAAGAATTTTTTTTAATAAAATAAAAAACAATAAAATCCTTCATAAATTGCAGGCTGCCTTCTGTTTTACTCAGGGTACTTCTGTGCGTTATTAGTTGCTCTTATCCCCACTTACAAATCAGAAGTTTAAGATGCAAACAAATAGCTATAAGCATGGCCATGAGCTGGAGCTGAGGTGTTTTTGCAATATGAATATGTCTTAGGAATGCTTGAATGCTTTATAACCTATTTTAATAACTTGATATTTTAAAAAATATGTTTATACAGACGCTTGCATCGGGCAATCAGGTTGGCAAACTTTATGTTTGGGATTCAGCAGTGGAAGATCCTCATAAAGCCAAGTAAGTATTTAGAAATGTTAATGATAATTCCAACCCTTTTCACAAATGTTATGCCAATAAAGAGGAAGTAATAGATACATTAGGTATCAAACTTAAATCATTTTTAACACTTAAAGAGCTCAGTTATTTTAAAGCCTTTATCTTTTATCATACTGACTGGTTATCATGAGTACCTTGGTGACAAGTAACTTTTTTTTTTAATTGAAATTGTCCCCAAACTTTATGAAAATTGAGATTGAACTCTTACTGATGTTTTCACTGCTTCCCCTAGGGCTTGGAACATCTATTCATTTCCTAATTGACTGGGTTAAGTTAGATACTGACAACATTTTCTGTAAATGGCATTTAACCTGTTGTCTTGTTTTCCTCTAGATGTACAACACTGACTCATGATGAATGTGGTGCTGCTACGCGACAAACCAGTTGTAGCAGGGATAGCAGTATTCTTATAGCTGTTTGTGATGACACCAGTATTTGGTGCTGGGACCGACTTCGATACAATACTTTGTCCTAATCAAAGTTAGAGCTTGTTTTCTCTGTATAACAGATGAATGTAACTTGCCAGGAAGGCCACATAGAGCGTTTAGAGTTGTCTTTCAGCATTCAGTCAGGCTGAGCTGAATGTAGTGATGTTTACATTGTTTATATTCTTTGTACTGTCTCCTGCTCAGACTCTATTGCTTGCAGTAACAATTCATTTGTGTAAAGCTGTGTGTTAGTTTATTTTCATTGTTATAAAAAGAACTGTTGAAAGTAATAAAAGTAGGCCCTTTTTTGTAATGATGACTTTTGTAGTTCTTTTCTGCTGAAGAAAGCTATATAATGTAGTAATTATGGGTAAATTCTAGAAGTAACCTGGATTTTAAGTTCGAAAGCTATAAGCCTTTGACCTGGGCTAAGTAACTTAACATCTCCCTCAATTTCCTCTTGTGTGAAACAGGGGTCAGGATACCTACTTCATAGGGTTATTAAAGATAAAATGATTGGCCACATGTGAAGCAGCTGGAATACTCCTTAATAGACACTAAATGTAAATACATGATTCATTTTTACGGGAAATTATATTACCTACGTCTTCGTATTTCTTCTGTAGTAATTTATAATAATTAAATTTTAAATTTAGAGTTGGAAGGAATAACGATTTCACAAAGCTGTCTACGATAGTAAAAACTACTGCTATTTGATTTGTAGCTAGACCGTTTGTAATAAGTGGAGATACTACCAGTAGAGCAAGTGAGAAGAGGACATAGAAGCTTGACTGCAGGGGGTTGAAAAATGAAAGAAATGAAGAGTGTGTACAGTGGTCCTCTCTGCTTTTCTAGAATGGTATTGCTGAAGAGAAATAGATTGAAGGCATCAGACTTGAGAGTAGTTGATTGTTTTGTTGGAAACAGAAGGCCCTTTGTATGTACTCAGGAACAGGAAGCAGCAGCAAGAATGAGATGGACATAAAAGACCAGAAAAATCCCCCCAAACAGTTAGGACCAAAGTGACATGTGGAGGGGCTAACCTGAAGCAGAGGGATGAAGAAAACCTGAGTAACCATAAGGTAGGAAGTACAATGAGGGGAGCCAGCATAAAATACAAGATTCCATTTTGTCAAATTTCTGAGATTATGAGCCTGGTTTTTATAAATCCTCTGCATTTCCAGGAATATACCTGTGTTTAATACCTTTTTGGATGCATTCATTGCTTCTGTTTTGTTGCTATTACTATAAACAGTATTTTGAGTACTAGCTGAATACACAGTTATTTCCACGCTCCTCTGTCAGCATAAGCTAATGATGGAGCCAGATTCACTTGCTCCAACAGTATGTGTTAGTAGCCGTTTCACTTCTGTTACTAGTTCCTATGTGTAACTCTCTAGATGAGCTTTTTTGGTAAACACCTAGCGAGTAAATAGTTTAGGCTCTGTGGGCCGCCCAGTCTCTGTCCCATTCAGTCAACTCTGCTGCTGTAGTGTGAAAGCAAGTCTACACAATGTATAGACAAATGAGCCTGGCTGTGTTCCAGGAAAATTAATAAACACAGGCAGCAGGCCACATTCAGCTCATAAACGATAGTTTGCCTACCCTTGCCGTGGATACTATTAAAACTAAACCTTACAAAGGTTGCTGAGTTGGCTGAAAACTTAGGTCAGATAGCTCACAAAGATCACCAAATAAGCAATGAAACAAGTGCTATGACTGATCATTGGAACAGTACTTAATCTACTTAAGACCACGAAAGACTTCAGATACTGGATATTAAGCAGGAAATGTAAATGCCACATTTAAAATTGCATCTCTCTCAGTCTACTCGACCCTTGCTTTCTTAGTCAACATTTCAATGATCGTCAAATCTACAACATAACTTACTCCGTTCGGTCATATTTCTTCTCCCACTGGGATGTTGGATTTAGGAGGGCAGATTTATTTTATTTTGTTGGATAATCCCAGCACATAGACCAGTGCCTTGCATATAGGTGCTCAATAAATATTTGTTGAAAAGAATGAAACATAAGATGCACACACAAGGAAGAGACTGCCAAGACTGACCATGGAAAAAGTATTTTCATTGCTACCATAATACCAAGAGTCTCGTCGACAGGGAGAAAGTTGGTGGGTCTGGCATGTCCTTTACCATCATGTCTCCCATTTCTGTTGCAATCATAACCAGTAGTATGCCAGTCTGATTCTATTTACAGCAAACCAGAACTTTGCCCCAAACTATGATGTCCTGAGAAAAATCACCGCTACTTGATTTCAAGCTGGACAAGGGACCCACTGATATCCCTATTGTAGCCTTTTGTGGTGAGGCAAGGAGCTGACCAGGACAGCAGTTTCTTCCAAGCCCTTCTATGGCACAGTTTGAAGGCCTTGGGTAGGTTTGTTTCTTGAATAATGGTGGGGGGGCAAGGATTGGCATCCCTCTGGGTCTACCCAGAGCTTGACCTAAACTCTTCTAGTCATTCGCTATGAGAATTGATTCTAGTGCTGGAATGAGCCACAAATTCTCCATGTAACTTCACATCACAGAACCTATTTTCTTTCTGGATTACAAAATGTGCTTTGGATAGCGAGGACACTTTTGAAAGTGCACACTTAGCCTACCTAGCTGGAAAAAATCCACATCTGTTTAGTACACGTGTTAGCACAGAGGTATTAAGCATTGTAATACTATTCGTCTAGGCTACGATCATGTTCATTGCCTCCAAAGGAGTCAAAGTCATGATACGCCCCACAGGGGCTGAATGAAACAATTCTTGTCTATGGACTTCAGAGAGAAGTCTCATGGACTCCCTTGTGATTCAGTGGACTCCATACCATTTTGGGGAGAAAATGTAGAATGATTTGGGCGAGTAATACAGAATAATTCCAGAGAAAAAGGATGCATTTGGTCACCTGTAGGGCCTGTTGCAAAATGAAATCGCAAGCTTCTTAGTGAAAAAGCAGGAAAAGGAAAAAAACAAATATATAAAAAATTAAAAAAATAAAAAGCAGGAAAAAGGTACCAATAAGGGATTGAAAAATGCAAGGGTGTTTTCCTTCTATGACTTCTTTCCCAACTTAAGGTATTTTTAAGTTTGCTTTTAACGGCATTCTAAGTAAAAATGCCATTCTGAGTTACGATTTTGCATTAGTATGAATTTTACCATTAATCTTTATATTGTATGATGGCAGTCGTCAATGCAAACAAAAGCATCTAACTCTTGGTGAAATTACCTAATTGGTATTTCTTAGCTCGTACTTTCTCGTGTGTTTAGTTCTTGCCAGTACAGTGCAGATGCAGGACAAACTAACCTTTATTTCATGGTCCCACGCATTCTACCAACATTCTCTCTAGTTGGCTTACTGATTCTAGGACAAAGGAAAATAACCATCCATTGTCCTATCTTTGCCTTTTCTTCTGTGTCCTCTTCAGTGTAATGATTGACTACTACAAGAAAGTAACATAAGCAAGAAGAGCATTCCTTAGTTGTTCAAGTTTCTTTAAATGCCTTGTCTTCTTTGCCCAAGCCAAGTTCTGGATCACACTGAAAACAGGGCCTCCTGGGGTTGTCAGTACCCCTGCCCACTCAGTTGTAGTTGCAACATGCTTACCTCGCACTCATCTGAGTCTTGCTGAGTTCCACACACGGGTCCAATGGAATTCTTTGCCCATGGGGAATCGCAAATGCTACATGTGAATAGAGAGGCAAGGAACAGTAGATATACAGATGGCCCATAACCCCTCTTCACATACATGCTGCCTAGTCACACTGGACTTTACTTACAAAATTCAAGTTCTAAGAAAATTACTATGAATGTCAACATGGGAACAACAGAGTCATGAAACTAAGCATGGGTGCTCTCTGAGTTTAGTGCCTGGTACTACTGCATTGGTCACACACCTATGAAGCTGATCTTCCTGCCTGGTACTGACCTAAGGTCCTTTTCTCAGGAGCTCCTTCTGGCACTGACAGCTCTTGATAGGTTCTCATTTCTTTTCTAAACTGTTTTGTTTTACTATCAGTCTCTGGCTCTATCGTGGTTTCCTTTGCTTCTTTTAAGTCATGAATAGACTGACTTCCCCCCCTTCTCCCCTTCTCTCCACATTTGCCCCCAAAAGAAAAATAACTTTCAGCAATAGGAAATAAGGCAGAGGCTGGGAGCCATGTTGTCCTCTGTGGGGAGGGACTTGAGTGGGAAGGAATCTATGAAGAAAGGTAGATGGTTGCTGGGGCGCTTGGGTGGCTCAGTCGGTTAAGTATCCGACTCTTGATTGCAGCTCAGTTCGTGATCTCACAATTCATGTGATCGAGCCCCATGTCGGGGGCTTCAAGTTGATAGCATGGAGGCTGCTTGGGATTCTCTCTCTCTCTCTCTCTCTCTCTCTCTCTCTCTCTCTCTGTCTCCCTCCCTGCTCACACACACATTTTCTCTCAAAATAAATAAATGAACATTTTAAAAAAATGAGATGGTTGCTGTTGCAGACATGAGATATGATGGAATCTAGGGGCTAAAAGAGTGGAATACAATTGGCTAAGAAAGGATTTGGATGTGACCTAGGTTTATTATCCTACAGAATACTGGAAAGGGGCTGGATTTAAATTAAATGATTTTCAAGTTTCTTTCTACGGGGAGGCTGGGTGGTTTAGTCAATTGAGCCTCCAACTCTTGATTTTGGCTCTGGTTGTGATTTCATGGTTCAGCAGATGGAGCCCTTCCTTGGGCTCTGTGCTGAAAGGGTGGAGCCTGCTTGGGATTCTCTCTCCGAGCTCTCTGCCCCTCCCCACCTCTCTCTCTTAAAATAAATAAAGTTAAAAAAACAGTTCCAGGGCTCAGTGTAACTGAGCTCAGTCAGTGGAGCGTGGGTGGCTCAGTCACTGTAGCGTTTGACTTCGGCTCGCGTCGTGATATCCTGCGTGGGTCGTTCAAGTCCTGGTTGGCTAGCCGCTGTCAGCACAGATTCCCTCTTGGGATCCTCTCCCCTTCTCACTCCCTCTCAAAAATAAACATTTTGAAAAGTTTCATAAAACAATACACTTACTGTGTATGACATATTCTGACATTTTCTATGCCATTATTATTATTTTGGTCATGTCATTGTGACTCACTAAGTTGATTGCACAACTTAATAGTCATCTCAACCTAACATCTGAACACAGTGATCTAGGGGAAATGAGTCTAGATGGCTTTCACTGAGGAGATTGGGAGCAAGACTCACATTAGGGGCTTCTGACTGGCTCAGTCGGTAGAGCATGAACTCTTGAACTCAGGGTGGTGAGTTCAAACCCCACATTGAATGTAGAGCTTACTTTA